AAGGCTCAGAGGAAACGTGTTAAACTGGGTGTTGCATCACTGGAAGACTTGGCTGGTGAGACGGTCAAGATGCATGATGCCTACGTTGAGAAATCGGATCATCAGACTCATGCCGATGGATCGCTCGCCGTCTCTGGAGATGTGTCTGCTGTGCAAGACGATGCGCATACTACTACGGCCACCGCAGTTGAATCGGTCTTCTCAAAGGGTCAGAGTAAGCGAATCTGGAACGAGCTTTACAAAGTCATCGATTCCTCGGACGTGGTCATCCACGTCATTGATGCCCGTGACCCTGAAGGCACACGGTGTAGGAGTATTGAAAAGTACATCCGTGAAGAGGCACCTCACAAGCACTTGATATTCGTGCTCAATAAGTGTGACCTTGTCCCAACAGGCGTAGCAGTAAGTTTCTCACGCTTTCCCCTCCTACAATTTTTTTTTTTTTTTTACCTTTTTCTATGTCTTGTTCATTTCACATACCTTTACCACCAATCAGGCCATGATGCCTGTGCCATTGCTAAGTCAAGGCTTCTTCCAGCGACTACGTGTCGTGCCATTCTCAATGGGAGTCTGTCTGTTACAGCTTTGGTAGATTGACGCTGGCCCGCGCCGACCTTCTTTCTGAAGCTAGGCTGATGAGTTTTCGTTTTGAAAGCCTGTCGTAAGGGCCGAGCTGTGCTCCGTTTTTGAGTTGAGTCCTGCTTCAGCCATCCGGCTGCTTCGTAGCAGGTCTCTTAGTAACGTTACACACATTCTATTGTTAAACCATTTTTACTTCTTTCTAAGTCTCTTGTTTACTGGTGTTCGAATGCTAACGAAAACACCAGGCGGCCTGGGTGCGACACTTGTCTAAAGATCATCCGACGCTGGCTTTCCATGCCTCGATTAACAACTCATTCGGTAAAGGGTCTTTGATCCAACTCTTGAGACAGTTTTCCGCTCTTCACTCGGAACGAAAGCAGATCTCTGTGGGCTTCATCGGCTATCCGAACACGGGTAAATCCTCTATCATCAATACCTTGCGCAAAAAGAAGGTGTGCAACGTGGCCCCCATTCCCGGTGAGACAAAGGTCTGGCAGTATATCACTCTGATGAAGAGGATCTACCTCATCGACTGTCCTGGTGTGGTCCCACCCAACCAAAATGACACGCCCGAAGATATTCTGCTTCGTGGTGTTTGTCGTGTCGAGAATGTAGAGAACCCTGAACAGTATATCCCTGCTGTTCTCAAAAGGGTTCAACCCAAACACCTTGAACGTACTTACGGCGTGAGGGGTTCTGATGATCCTCTGGAGTTCTTGGCTGTTCTTGCGCGTAAGGGTGGAAGGCTACTCCGTGGAGGAGAGCCCGATCTTGATGGTGTCGCCAAGATGGTGATCAACGATTTCCTCAGAGGCAAGATCCCATGGTTTACTCCACCACCTCACACACCCGGTGAGGAGGGCGAAAAGGTTAACGGCCGTGAAGGCCGACTCGGTGAAATGGGTCGGAAGCGGAAGCTTGACACAGTTTCGGAAGAAGCAGAGAAGAGTGAAGCGAAGTCTGGTCCTACATCTGATGGAGAGTTTGAGGGCTTCGGTGACAGCGATGATGATGACAATGATTCAATCGCAAACCTTGAAGTCAGTGATGAGGAGAGTGGAGAGGAGAATGACTGAGCCATTGTCGACTCCTCCTATTTTACCAAATCAAGCCGCCAAAAACAGGCTACAGGCTGCCGCTGATCAACTCTTCAGCAACCCTCGTCGGAGCATATCCGAATCTACGCCGCTTCTTAAGCAGGGTCAGACCCCACCGACCAGGCCAGACGAGCATGGACGCAGGTCTTTCGAGTCGAGAACCCTGAAAGTCGGTGTCAACCTATCCTGTCGTCGTTTACACGACATGGCTGGAACCTACTACCTGGGCCAGATTTTACCGTGATGGGTGCATTGCAAGCATTACTTCTTTTGGTAATGTACACCATTACAACTCACTATAGATACCCACTTAGCTTTGAAAACAATCAATTATGATATGAAATGGTACGAGACGTGCATACATTCTGCAGTAGTACTTGAAATATGGTTATTGTTTATGCGCTAGTGCTTCACCGCCGTAGCTCACGTGGGGCCACCCCAGCCTCGCTTTCATCATAGCTCTTCTGCATGCACCGAAAGTACCTTTTGCTTATCTTATTTTTTTTTTTTAATAAATTCTCTTCGGGAATGATATTTTTTTGTTTCCCTAATACAAGAGATGCGCATGTCTTCCTTTAAATATGGCGGACGACGGCATGTCCATTGTGCCCTACGGATCTTCTAACCTTGATGTCGTACTGTAAGGTGGCTTGGTCCCAACTGGTAAACATTGCTCTAACGGTCATTGTGTGGCAGACGCCATAACGACTCAGTCGTGGTCTTTGATCGTGACTCTCAGCAACTGGTTCTCCGAAATGCTTCCGAGAGCAATGCCGACATTGACTTGACTGATTGTCCCTATTGCCATCGTCCGCTGCATGACAACGGCGGGGGACAAGAAGGCCACCATACAAGTCCAGGAGGGCAACCCGAGTTTATCAACCCCAATTATTTCCGGATGCTTCATAGAAGCCTACCTAGCTCTGCGACTTCGTCAACTTCATCGTCCCCTCACCGACGCCTCGTTCAGTCGGCTCTTCCAGACGGCCCCACCAGTGAACCAAGCGGCGCATCCCAGGGTATATCGTCAGCGGCATTCATACCCAATTACTTCAAGAAGTTCTTTGTTGAGGAGGGTATACTAGGCAAAGGTGGGAAAGGCGTTGTCTTGCTTGTGAAACATGTGTTAGACGGCGTGTCGTTAGGGCACTACGCTTGTAAGCGCGTGCCCGTCGGAGATGACCACGAATGGCTTGAGAAAGTCCTGGGAGAAGTTCAACTGCTGCAACATCTCACACATCAGAACCTCGTCTCCTACCGTCACGTATGGCTTGAAGATGCAAAGATCAGCACCTTTGGACCAAGCGTACCCTGCGCCTTCATCCTGCAGCAATATTGTAATGCTGGTGACCTGCATAACTACATTTGTGGATCGGTGCAGACGTCTACAACCACCCAGCAATTGAAAGAGCGTCTTAGGAGGAGGTCCCGGGGTGAGCCGGATCCTCATACTGACGCCAACGAGCCTCGCAAACTCCACTTTGAGGAAATATATTCTTTTTTCAAAGACATCACATCCGGTCTACGTTATCTCCATGCCAACGGCTATATTCACCGTGACCTCAAACCAAACAACTGTTTATTGCACAAAACAAGTGATGGTATACGCGTCTTGGTCAGCGATTTCGGTGAAGTTCAGGCTCAGGATTCAATCCGGCTGTCTACCGGGGCGACCGGGACTGTGTCGTATTGCGCACCTGAAGTGTTACGTCGTGAATACCCCGGAGGACCGTTTGGAAACTTCACATTCAAATCGGACATCTTCTCTTTGGGAATGATTCTCTACTTTCTGTGTTTTGCGCAGCTTCCTTACAGCAATGCTGACCTTATCCATGAAGAGAGGGAAGACCTTGATCGACTCCGGGAAGAAATTAGCCAGTGGGCTGGTTTTGATCATGCTCGCAGGATGAGACCAGAATTACCTGAACAACTTTATACCTTTCTGGAACGGCTATTATCTGTGAATCCTGATCGCCGACCATCTGCAGACGATGTTCTGAATGGTCTCCAGGCTGGAGCCAGTGTGAATGATAACATACGATCCAGACGGACTGGGTCTTCGAGTTCTGACGGGCATTCCGGTTCCAGGATGCAATTTTCTGAAAACTCAACACCCGCTTCTTTCTCCAGACCCCCTACATCTCCAAGAAAACCATTTTCCCGAAGTCCGGTAGCTCTCCGACGCGACTCCCACTACGAGCCCAATGGGGGCGGACCGATGGCCCTTGTCGACGATCTGGGTCCTCATGATGAAAGGAGAATGTCGCTAGGCGCTGAAAGAGATATGATCATTCGAGGGAGGTACTCCAGCACTCCATCTCTTCCACCGGTCCATAATGAGCCTTCTGAAGTGCGTGAAAGTCGTGAAGCTTTTCAACATTTACTTCCTCCATCTTCGAGCGGGCCGTCCCTGACCAGGGTTTTTCCATTCCTATCAAGTACGCTTCCTGATTTGCAGATTCCGCTTCCTACGATTCAATTGGGCTTTTTTCTTCTCAAGGTTGTTTCAGCGTTCCAGCCCTGCAGCCCTCTCGCAGTGAATCCCTGGATGTTTTACCCTTTGCTACTGCTCGCAGCATTAAATCTACGGACTAAAAGCATCGGCATGCAAACAATGTTTCTCATAATACACCTTGTTGCCGTTAGCCTCAGCATGCAGTTTGGCGTCATGTGCCTTTGGCAGACTCCACGGTTGATGATGTTTTCAAGATAAAGACCACTCTGGCTTTTGTACTACCAGAACTCCTTGTTTCCAGTTAGTATTACTTTCTCTCTATCAGCGCAGTTTATTTATGAATGTACGCAATTACGAAATTTGTGTCTTTTGAGCTCACGGCATGTATACATTAAATCATGAAACAATATCTTCAATCCATTCTATACTGGAATTCAGCTCTCCTTTTATAAAGCATCTACAGGCGCCAAAAAAAAAAAAAAAAAAAAAAAAAAAAAAAAAAAAAAAAAAAAGAGGAAGAAGAAAAAGCAAACAGGAACAGATACTTTGACAAAATTGTTGCTTACAATAGGCATCAATCAACAATAGTAATCTTCGAGTAGATACAGTCCAAATATCGAGGTCAGCAAGCACTCAATGAAAACATGTGAGTACTAGTAATAAACCCGATAGCCCATCAAAGCCACTGCCATGGTATAGCTCTCCAAAAGCTTCCTACTATGGGAGGGCCACATTAGAGCGTTTATATCTTGTCAAGACTTTATATCTTCACTCGATAGCTATATAGAAACCAAGTCTCTCGCGGAACTATTCAACTAAACAGAATCCAATCACCAAAAATATATATACATAGATATATAAAAGCCCCCCAACTCAATGACTTTCCCAAAACTGCGCATCCATAGCAATCAGTCGATTAAACAACTGATTCCTTCCCCGCATACCAGTAAGATGATAAGATTGATATTGGGGCTCCATCCTTGAAATCACCAACCCATCAATAGAATCCTTGGTCCCGGCCGTCAACTCAACAATCAGCTTCCCCTTCCAACCTAGCCCCTCCGTCTTCTTCAATTCCTTGATCTCAGGGATAGGAATCTGAAACAATATAGCACCTTTCTTCTGGTTCTCCAGTCGCAAATCATCCAGTTTAGCAGATTGGCAAGTCGTGAAATAGAGTACAGGCTGCTCTTGGGACGAGTCGATGACCACTGTACCTCGCTTGCGCTCAAACTTTGCCTCGAATTTGAGAGGCCCAAGAGGTGGTGCCGTGATCCAGCCTCGTCGGCTTAACAGGCCAATTAGGGTCTTCGTGCTTGCAGATTCAGTGATTCTCATGGCGCGGTCGAATGCGATGTGGCCTTTCATTGCTGTTGCGATTGTTCGGCCGATGAACTTGAGGATCTTCGACCATTTTTTCTTCCGGGCTTCTGCTTTTGAAAGCTCTGGTTTGGGGGTTTGAGTTTGAGTCACGAGAGATGTAGTGGGTTCATCGTTGTTTTTGCTCGAAGTTATACTACCAGGAGCTTTGCGACGAATAGGCCATAGGGGTTCATTGTTGTGCGAGCTTGGGGGTGGCGGCAACGGTGTGGAGTTGATTTCACCAAGACGAAGAAGGGCTAGTGTGAGTTGGGCGTTTGTGGGGACACCTTTTAGCAGGGTGCTGGATTCTAGTTAGCATATATAGTGTTCCTCTGCTTATAAGGGGACTTACTTTTGTAAGTCTAGGTACTCTTTCCAGTTTGCAACCTTGTCGTTCAAGATGGCTATAGTGCGTTGCACGACAGGGTCACCAAAGATGGCCAGTCCAAAGAAAAAGCTACCAGACTTGATCATAAAATGGCTCGACGTGACGAGGGATACCAGGCCTATAGATATTAATATCCCTACCACTTGCAGACGGGGTGCTATAGTAAGGAATGGTGGAGTGGGGGATAGGAGACTATTCAGACCTTGGTCAGAGACATTTCTTTGCGTATTGGGGTAAGTACTAACTTGGAAAGCTGCTCATATATATCAGTAATATCACCAAGTATACGCATTGTCTGGTTCGTAGCCTTTGATATCTTTTTCTTCATAGGCTTTTTAGTTTTATCTTCGGCTGGTGCATTCTCAGCTTGCACCTCTGCAGTGATTGCCCCGACATCGACTGGTTCAGGCTCAGATGACCCCTCAGCATCATCATCAATTACTGACTGGCCGTATTTTCCTCGGGCACTTTCCATGGCGACATTGGCGATATCGTTGACTAAGTTGGAGGCCTCCTGCTCTGCTGCTTCGCCTTTGTATGTCTCTGGAGCACTGGTCATGCTATCACGCGTAGACTGCCCGGCGTCACTAGCATCTGAGTCATTCCCTGAAGTGCTACGAGGAGGGAAAAGCAGGGATCGTGTGGATGGGAACAGAATCAACGCAACAAGAACACAGGTTGTCATAGGGACAAGTAGATCCAAAAACCATGCTGCGAAGTAGACCTTTAAGCAAGTTAGTTTGAAACAAATATTCCATGTTCAACACAAAAGATAGTAACTTACTATGCAGAACGTTGCGGTACGTCTAGGCTCTCTCCATGACCTCAGTCTAGTGATGTGACTGAAGAAACTAACCAACCCAACAACCACAGAAGTATAGAACCGTTCAGTAGTTGCCCGCAGCTTTTCTGGGGGAAATTGTTCCTCATCTGCCCGGTTGAGATCCAGCTCATCTAGAGGAGGACCTTGTATGGCTTTAACATGATGTATTTGCTACTCGAGGGGTCATTAAAATGATTTATAGTTCCTCTAGATGGGATAAACTTGACATACCTTGTTGAACCTCCGAATGAGCAACCATAGATCCTCATTAGACAGATCGGACGTAAGTCGTTCGTCTACTGTCTTGGAAGCCTGCTTCCACTTCATGTCTGAATGTTTTCCATGGTTGTTGGCCTTTTGAACGGCATTGCTCTCCCCTGGCGCTAATACGGCATGATCATGGGTATCCGTATCCTGGAACCCACCAGGTATTTCTTGTTCGTTGCTCATCGTGTACTGATAGCCTACTTCAGATGCGTCTAGAACTTGATTCTTGTAAGTAATATAATCATAGATATTTGCAATAGGCGCCCACGGAAGGCAACATGTCGTCCTCGCAGATCACATATCAGTATTCCCTCATCCTCCTAATTGGCCAATATCTAGCACCGCCTTATAATCGGGGCAGTATATATTAAGTTTCTATCAACCTGATATTCATGTATCTATAGTAATAAACACTAGCCCGTAAAGCTATAGAAAGAGAAACAGTTTCACTCTCAAGACTGCAAAGCATCTATTCCAACTACCCCGAATCAAACAAAGACATATCCTGGGGCTAATTGCACACGTGACTGCGCGACAAGCTCCTCCGCCTGACCGTATAAATTCTACCGCGGCGTTGCGTATTAGTTATTGGTGATCTCAAACACCCTCTTTCAGTCGCTAGTTGCATTCGCCATCATGGACGATATCGTGATGAACGGTTCGTCAGAGGTACTCCCTCCACAGCCACCTCCGGAACCCATCGAGCGACCTCCTACCCCTCCTCCGCCTCCCCCAGAAGAGTCCGCCCCTCCTCCGCCACCAGAGGCCGCGGCGCCTCCACCGCCCGAAGACCTTCCTCCTGCACCTCCGCCACCTGAACCAAAGAAGAAGAAGGTGGGATGGGGCGCAAAGAAGCCGGCGGCTACACCGTTGAGTGTAGAGGAATTGGTTCGCAAAAAGAGGGAAGCTGATGCGGCAGCTGCTAGGGTATGTTCGTCCCTTATCTCTTGCTTTCTACGAGCTTGGCATGCGATGTCAATTCTTGCTGGTTGGCTCTGGGAGCTGCGCGTAAACGTGCATGGCTAATAGTAGTGTTTGTATACAGCCGAAATTCTTGTCGAAAGCCGAGAGAGAACGAATCGCCCTAGAAAAGCGAGCAAAGGAAGTCGAAGCAGAACGAAGGCTAAAGACATCCAATGGTGTCGACAGGAGTGCGACCCAGTCGCCTTCAGTTAGCTCTGAAGTCAATAATGGCGATGGAAGGTCTATACCCACCGGCCCCCGGGCTATGAGAAGCTCAGACGCCCCTACCGCACCAGCTGCGATGCGCAATTCCCACACTCGTAATAAAAACCGCGACCTATCGCCGCCTCCACCACCGAAGTCAATGTCTTCTAGTCATACAGGTTCGAAAGGCGACAAGCGACCAGTAGATGACGATGAAGTAGCCGCTCAGGTGGCATTGGTTAAGCAGAGGTACATGGGCGCAGACCAGACGTCGACCTTCTCAGCAAAGAAGAAGCGGAAGAGGACAACAGACCGGAAATTCAATTTCGAGTGGAATGCAGAAGAAGACACAAGTGGAGACTATAACCCCCTGTATCAAAATCGACATGAGGCGAACTTCTTCGGACGTGGCCGACTGGCAGGTTTCGGAGACGATGTTGCCGACAACGTGGCGAATAAGTATGCAAGAGCCCTGGAGGACCGCGATCACGAAGCGGGAGGTATTCGGGCCCGAGAGATCCTGGAAATGGAGCGCCGGCGGAGAGAAGAGAGCACCCGCAACCAGCTTGACAAGCACTGGAGCGAGAAGAAACTGGAGCACATGCGCGAGCGTGACTGGCGTATCTTCAAGGAAGACTTCAACATCAGTAACAAGGGTGGAAGTGTACCGAACCCCATGCGGTCGTGGGAAGAGTCCGGTCTCCCCAAACGTCTTATGGAGCTTATCAACAAGGTTGGCTACAAGGATCCTACGCCCATTCAACGTGCTGCTATCCCCATTGCCATGCAGTCTCGAGATCTCATCGGTGTCGCCGTCACCGGTTCCGGTAAGACGGCAGCCTTCCTCCTCCCCCTGCTAGTCTACATCGCCGAACTGCCTCGCATCGACGAGTTCGAATGGAGAAAGAACGACGGCCCCTACGCCATCGTCCTCGCCCCGACCCGTGAATTGGCCCAGCAGATCGAGATCGAAGCCAAGAAATTCACAGAACCCCTCGGCTTCAACGTCGTCAGTATAGTCGGAGGTCACTCCTTCGAAGAACAAGCCTACAGTCTCCGCAACGGTGCAGAAATCATCATCGCCACCCCTGGTCGTCTAGTCGACTGCATCGAACGCCGCATGCTAGTCCTCAGCCAATGCTGCTACGTCATCATGGACGAAGCAGACCGCATGATCGACCTGGGTTTCGAAGAACCCGTCAACAAGATCCTCGACGCCCTCCCCGTCTCCAACGAAAAGCCCGACAGCGAGGAAGCCGAGAACTCAATGGCCATGAGTCAACACATCGGCTCAAAAGACCGTTACCGCCAAACAATGATGTACACAGCGACAATGCCCACAGCCGTGGAACGTATCGCCCGCAAATACCTCCGTCGCCCAGCCATCGTCACAATCGGTAGTGCCGGCGAAGCCGTCGACACCGTCGAACAGCGCGTCGAGTTCATTGCAGGCGAAGACAAGCGCAAGAAACGTTTGGGCGATATTCTCTCGTCCGGCGAATTCCGGCCGCCGATCATCGTCTTCGTCAACATCAAGCGGAACTGTGATGCTATCGCCCGCGAAATCAAACAATGGGGATTTTCCTCTGTTACCTTGCACGGAAGTAAGACCCAGGAACAGCGTGAAGCCGCTCTGGCGTCGGTGCGGAACGGCCAAACGGATGTTCTGGTCGCTACCGATCTGGCTGGTAGAGGTATCGATGTTCCTGACGTCAGTCTGGTTATCAACTTTAACATGGCGACTACGATTGAGAGCTACACTCATCGTATCGGCCGTACCGGTCGTGCGGGTAAGAGTGGTGTGGCTATTACTTTCTTGGGTAATGAGGATACGGATGTTATGTATGTTTTTCCTTCTTTCCTTCTTTTGATATTGGTGGTGTCGGGCGGTGATGCTAATGGCTCTATAGGTACGATCTCAAGCAGATGCTTATCAAATCTCCCATCTCTCGACTACCGGAGGAACTGCGCAAGCATGAAGCCGCACAGTCGAAGCCTACGCGCGGGTTTTCGAAGAAGAATGATGACAACTCTGCGTTCGGGTCAAAGGGTGGATGGTGATAGTCTAATGCCGGGTGCTAATGTCCATATGATATCAAAATTTAAAGGAATGTTTTCCATTCCTCTCGTATTATAATCACTACAGAGATCGAACAGGGCTTCATTCTCAAATTGTTTCCCATATTATGTATACTCAACGTTATATGTACTCGGTAGAGAGCTGAATGGTATTTTCTAGTATACATCGGAATCTGTTCCGCAGATTTTTGAAACATTAACCCAGTTAGGCGTGATGCAATGATTTGTGTCCAGGACCAGCAGTCCTTAACATATCCGTCATCCCACACTCAATTCATTATTGCATACTTGCTGGTATGCTATTCCTCACAATTTGCCATCGCGGAGATAGGCATTCGACTTCAGCCAAGATTCCACGTCAGTGCGGTCACGGTTGATCCAGTTGATCTTGGCCCTGATGGCATCAAGACTCTGCTCAACAGCACGATCAAAGCCCTAAAGAGGTGTTAGTCACTGATAATAGGCTCCGTGTACAATTCGAACTTACCTTGGTATCCTTGTCCTTGAAGAAGTCCTCCACCTCCTTCAACTGAGACTCGGTGCAGAAGCTGGAGGTAGTGAGTTGAACAACAGTGCCCAGCATACCAAGTCCTGGAGGCAGGCGCTTGTAGAGTGCATCCCAGTTGTTCTTCATCCAAGCCCAGCGAGCCTCAATACCGGCTGTGTGGTTGCGCAGACCGCCAAGAGGCATGTAGATATCCTGGTTCTTAACTTCATCGCTGAGGGCAAGACCCAGAGTACGTTGAATGAGGGCCGGGTCTTCAGCAGAGCCGAGGCAGCGAAGAGCCGTGGTTTTCTCATCAGAAGTAGGAGCGTTGCGGAATCGGTCGTACACGACATTGTACTCCTTCTCGCCACCGTTCTTCAGAACAATGCTGAAAACGCTACCGCGGATGTTCGGATGGATGGCGCTGGTTTCGCCCGCAGCAAAGCGTTGGAACATCTCCTGGGCAGCCTTGACGACAACTGGATCCTCGGCCGAGCCGGCAGCGCTGAACAAGAGCGCCTTGAACTGCTGCAGGATGTGGCCGTCCTTCTCTGAGAATTCCCAGCCAATCTCGTGAGTCTTGGAGCTGACCAAAGCGCGCTGGAACGCCTTCAGGGCATCCCTAGCTTGGATATCCTCGAAGAGCCATGCAGCCCGGAGAGTGCCAACGCGGGCCACGATCTCATTCCACACGATAAACTCCGATTCGTTGTCAAAGCCCTTGAGGAGCGAGAGCAAACCAGAGGTGCTCTGGTAGCCAGACGAAGCGAGGGCACCAGCATCTGCGATCATACCGGCGCGGTCTTCGACCGTTAGCAGGCCCTGCTTGGCCGCCTCACCGAGCTTAGTGAGCCGTTCAGGGGTATAGGAGGTACGATAGATAGCAGAATGGTCAGCGTTCAGCTTGTAGAAATCAAGGTCTGGAACCTTGAACTGGCCCTCACGCTCAGTCAACATGGTGTTTTCATCAAGACCTTGCTTGGTACGCAAGCCCAACATGACAGGGTAAAGAGTAGTGTCCTCCTCTGGGCGGACATCACCAGTACGCAGGAAGCGGTTCTGGGTCAACTTGATCGACGAGCTGGCAGCATCCTCGGCCACAGTGACCACAGGGAATCCGACATTCTTGGTCCAGATGTCCATGACCTGCTCGACAGGCTTTCCACTTGCGTCAGCGAGAGCAGCCCACAGATCACCAGTCTGGGTGTTTCCATAAGCGTGCTTCTTGATGTAGTTACGGACACCCTGGATGAAAACATCCTCTCCCAGGTACTTAGAGATCATACGCAGGACAGAGGAACCCTTCATGTAGGAAATGGCATCGAAGATCTGGTTAATCTCGTCGGCACGCTTGACAGGCACCTCGATAGGGTGGCTACTACGCAGAGAGTCGAGGGAAAGCGCGCCCTGCAAGCTGTCGATGACGTAAGTCTGCCAGACCTTCCACTCGGGGAAGAAGCTGTTGCAAGAGTACCACGACATCCAGGTGGCAAAGCCTTCGTTGAGCCAAAGACCATCCCAGAAATCCATGGTGACAAGGTTTCCGAACCACTGGTGAGCCAATTCGTGCTGAACAACCTCGGCAATACGCTCCTTGCGCGAAGCACCGCTGTTCTTCTCGTCCAAGAGCACATCGACGATACGATAGGTGATCAGACCCCAGTTCTCCATGGCGCCTGCACTGAAGTCCGGCACGGCGACCATGTCCATCTTAGGGAGAGGGAAAGAGTTATCAAAAGCCTTTTCGTAGAACGCCAGTGTCTTAGCGGCCAGATCCAACGAGAAGCGACCATGCTCAATATCCTGATCCGGAGTAGCATACACACGGATGGGGACACGGAAGTCCTTCGTCTCAATGTAGTTTAGATGGCCGACAATGAAAGCGACCAGGTAAGTAGACATGAGCGGGGAAGTGTTGAACTTGACGACCTTCTTGCCGCCCTCGGCATCAGTCTCCGATGCAACGTCCATGTTGCTCAGGCAGGTCATGCTCTTGTCAGCGATCAAAGTCACAGTGAACTTGGCTTTGAGGGCAGGCTCGTCGAAGCAGGGGAACGCTCTGCGGGCATCCGTGGGCTCCATCTGCGTCGAAGCAAGATATTTGGTCTCGCCATCTTTTGTCTTGTAGGACGACCGGTAGAAACCGGCCATATTGTCATTGAGGATGCCGGTGAAGGTGAGCTTCAGCTGAGCGGAGGATCCGGCGGGAATCGTCTCGGCGAACTTGACGGTAGCTACCTGGTTATCCTTGTTGATGGAGATCTCCGGGCTGGAGGTGACGACGGAGCCCTGAGCGGAGACGATGGCACTGTGGATGTCGATCTCGTTGGAGTTGAGGGAAATGGAAGTGGTGTCTTCGGTGACCTGGAGGCTACGCTAACCATGAGCTTGAATCACGGACAGATGTTATATCAAATGGATACATACTCGATCACAACGGTACCCTCATATTTGAAAGACTCGAAGTTCGGCTCCAAGGTCAGGTCATAATGGACCGGCTTGACATTGGTGGGCAGGACCTCACGGCCATGGGTGATGTTCGTCGAGCCCGAAGGCACGTCAGCACGACGACACATCCTGCGATAGGAGCAGTAACGCTTGGAGATTTGAGAAAGGGGAGAACGGCGGGAGGATAAACGGTTGACGGAGGGCGATGAAGTGGAGGAGGGAGAAGAAGTAGCAGTCGTAGAGGAAGAGGGGACAGATAAGGAACGAGAGAAGAGGAGGGGACTTCTGGAGGGGAAGGAAAGCGGTGGCTTCTTCGCTGAGTTTAGTACCAGCGGCGGTAACCGCGTAGAAGAGAAGCGACGCATGCCGCCCCGCTGAATGGAAGGGAAAAGATAAGAGAAAGGGTGAAAAGGGTGGAAGAGGGGTAGTAGTTCCCAATGAACTAATCAGACAACAATACCTCCCACCTACTAGTAAACAATCAGACTACTAGTATGGAGACAATGGAAAAACGCGATGTGTTGATTTGCACATCCAGAGAAAACCACCGGCGGTTGGCCCCTAGCGGCAGGCGGTGAGTCTCGCCTCCCGTTCGCCTCTGGCCAATCGGTTGCTCGTCCTTGTCCAGCTTGTTGCCCAATCTAGTGGCGGGATTACAATTGTTCCGTTATTTTTCTGCTATAAATTTCTCACGACGCTGCCTTAATCGAACAGATCCTCATACATATACATTCTTTCAGCAAGTAATACTCACATACAGCAAATGCCATGTTTTTTCCCCCACAGGCAGATCGTTGTCGAGCTGCCCTCTCGAGGGCAGTACTTGCAAGACCGTACACCAGCCAGTTTGAGGGGTCCATGACTGCAATTTTTCTTTGCATCCCTTTGTGCATGGGCTTCCATAGATGACTGGGACACATAAATCTCTTTTAAATAGTCTATTATTGAAATTAATCGAAATTTTTCATATCTCTATAAATAGATCTATACTATTAAGAATCGAAGTGGTATCCGTAACATGTTGAACCGGGGTATAACTTGGTTGACAAAACCAAATGTGCAAAATCAAAAAATCCCCAGAAATTCCCAACTCCAAACAAATGCTCCGCTGTAAACATTATGATTACGCTTGAAAATAATGATGTTGAATCTTGAACTCATAAATCATGTCCAGGCTGCCCTAAACAATCTTAGGAGTGCTCTTGTCTCGCTGCGGCTTCGGACAACGGGAGACGCGAGATAACACTCCGAGACCAGCCGTCCGCATCCACCACGGTTTCCTTGACCATCACATAGTTGCCCAAGCGTGGGAGCAAGACAGCCCACACGAGGTAATAAATTCCACCGGCTGCGAAGATGCCCAGGGCCACCACACAGTGCAGGTAGTATGGGAGTTCCTCGTAGACGCTCTGTCCGGCACTTGGGGGCACGTACGGTGCCACCACCAGATACATATTGGACAGGCAGAAGAAGATGGTCACAGGAAGTGTCGCGCGGATACCGGGGTTCCAGTCGGGGAACTTCGTCTTGTGGGTGAAGTAAACATAAACGAGGCCGCCAGAAACAAAGACGTTGATGATGGCGAGCGGGTACGAAATAAGGTTGACCAAGAAGTTATAAGCGTCTCCTGGAGGAGGGGCCAACAAGATGATGATCGAGACGATGTAGTGTTCAAATAGACCAGCGGCCGGCGCGTTGAAAGGCTTGTTGCTAGCGAAAAACTTCGAGAGAGGCAGGACACCCTCACGTCCCAGCTCTTGGACGATTCGACCTTGTGAGAAGATCACCGACAAGACGTTGCCAAATGCCGACAAGGCGACGAAGACCGACATAACTTTCTCCGCCCGCGGGCCAAACATGTTACCGAAAAAGACGGCGGCGACAGTCTGGCCGGAACTAAGAAATTGTTCTCGGGGCACGGCGGCGAAATAGGCGACGTTGCAGAGCATATAAAGAACTCCAACGGATCCAATGGCGATTGGCGCGGCGATCTTCAATGTGCGTGTGGGGTTCTTAGTCTCACTCAAAGCCTGCGACTAGTTAGAAAATGGCGTCGTGCGATACTAATCGGCATTACTTACATAGTTGGCATTTGAGTAGCCGATGAATGACCAGATAACGTTATATAGCGACATCACGATTCCATAACCGCTATTCGTTGTGCCCTCAAAGGCGTTCCGGAAGTTATGAGGGTGGTCCTCGATCTTCATATGACCCCCGAGGGCAACAAAGCCACAAACGACGACGAACACGATGATGACAAGCTTGACCACACCAAGGAAGTTTTGGAGATGAAGGCCCCACTTCAAGGCGAAGGCATGAATGAGGAAGGCAGCAGAGATACAGGCCAACCCAATGCCACGTTGGTTCCAACGGTCAACCTCGACATCAGCGGCATTGAGGATGTACTCGCCGAACACCACACTGTTGCTCGCAGCCCAGCCAAGTAACATGACGTAAGAAGCATACATGCATGTTATGAGGAACTTGGGCTTCTTGAAGACATATTCAAGATAGTTCTTTTCACCACCGTTCCTGGGCATAGTTAGTCCGACTGATCTCAATGAAAAATTATTTCAGGACGGTAGTAAACGTACTTTGGAATAGCGGTACCCCATTCCAGGTACACGGCGGTACCGGCCATGGCAATGATGGTGCCAATCACCCACATGAACAGGGAAAGTCCAACACTACCGGACAACGACAGGATAGTACTTGGCGTAGCAAAGATACCAGTTCCAATGACTCTGTTGAAGATCAGGAACGAGGCGCTGACTACGCCAATTTGACGGCGGTCTTCTGGTGTTGCATCGAAGACATTACCCTCATCTGCACGGTATAGTTAGATCATGACTTCCAATAAATCAAGATCAATCGTAATACATACATAGCTGAGAGACACCATCAGTCCTCCGGGGCCCTTCTTCCAGGGCCTTGGTGTCCGGCATGACTCCCTTGGCGGATTTCGAAGCTGAATCGCTCATAGTAATGCGGAAAATTTAGCCTAAAGCTCAAGAATGTTCTCCACAGAAGCTCTAGAAGCTATGGAGAAGAAAGCGGGCGAACGAAAGGATTATATTGAGCAGATCCAGCGGTTAACGACGGGCGTACACCACGAGATGTGATGATGTGCTGGGCCTAAATCTGATGCAATCAGGCCGGTGCGTCGAGGCTGGTGTTGGCAACCGCCTAAAAAGGAAAAAAGTCTTATATTATAAAGACCATGCAACCTCGTAAGAAAGAGCGAAAAAGGTGCAATGCTGACAGGGATTGAATTAGGGTATCTTATGACCGGGAGATTTAAGCTCTCTCCGTCAAATATGCATATAAGAATGATTAAAAGAAACAAATTGAGCTAAACGAAAGATATCTTTAACAGATGGCGCAGAGAAATAAAAATTTAAAAAAAATTCAGACGTGTGCCACATGGTTGAGCCCATAACGCAATTAATTTTATGAAGGCGAAAAACAGCAAAAAAAAAAAAAAGTTTGGTTCTGCAGCGGAGCTAAACCGAGGGAAGATCCACATATCCACGAGATCCAAAGCTCTCAGTCGTTGTGAACCTTTTTTCGTGACAAAAAGAAATCGATGGCGTGATAGCCTCGGCGCCCGTGAGGGTTTTTGCTTACGGAAGATCCGCTATTCTTGATGCAATTAGGCCTAGATCGTCATTATTTCCCAGCTCTATATCCAACGCTCGGCCTAGTGAGTCAAGGTATCCGCAGTTAGTTGAAACAGCACAAAAAAAGCCTCAGAAAGAAAAAAGAAAAACAGGAAATCGTGTTCAAAAGAATCTTCGTTCAATTAATTATGTACAATACAAAAGTGGTCTGGTAATGGTCTCTGTTCAAATCAAGAAAAATTTCAATCCTGCGCCCACCCAGACTCCCAAGCCGTAGCTTCATCATTCATATCCAAGTTGTGGCAATTTGTATACTTCTCCCACCTCAAACGCCAAATCAAGGCAGTAGACTGCTTTCTCGTGACAATGAAAGTCGAAGCTGCAAGGAAGTAGAAAATACGGAAAGAAAAAAGAAAAACAAAAAAAAAGCGCTGACAAGTCTTCAACAGAAAGCGCCGTATATGAACTCGCACACGGATTGATTAGATATAAAAAGGAGATAAAATGCAGGAGAAATGAAAGTACCGAAGAGAAAAGGACTATATCTTGATGTAGCATGTACCTGCATGCATGAGATTAGAAGTTCCACGTTCTATCTGGGCGTTGTCGAGACGGCCTGAGCAGCAGGCACCAAACTGGACGGAGCCACTTTGCCAGGAACGCTAGAAGGTGGGCTCTGCCGCTTTGCCAACAGGGCGAGTTTCTTGCGCAGGGATGCCAAGCGACCCCTGATGCTGGACACCACTGCATGACCCGTCAGAAGAGAAATTTACACATTATGTGCGCGGGATAACTCACATTTCATCACCACTTGTCGGTCTTCCACCCGTACGCCATCCAACATGGCTTTGTCACTATCTCGCCGGGCATCGCCTTTGTCGGTGCCGCTTCCTGGCCGAGACCGGGATACCTCTTCTTCCTCCAATACAGCTTCCAACATCCGAATGGCCGTGACATACGCTATCTCGCACCCGGAAAGGTCTTCGCCCGTAAGTTCATTGATGGCGGCTGCCCGACTCATCTCTAGTGCCCGATCATACATTAGCTTCTCCGCCGTTACACCCGAACTCACGACAACATCCGTAGATGCGCCGGCGCCGACGGAGGAGCCAATGGAGTGATTACTGGGATGACTGGGGTGATCTGATGGCAAGCGTTTCTGGCCCTCGATTAACTTCAGACGAACAAATTCTGCCTTTTCCAACACCTCATTGAATCGGTTTCGCACCCATTGTACGACATTATTAATCCGGTTGCTGACAAGCGTGCTTGTGGCGTCCGTCCTCCCCATGGCCGATTCGCCAAACGCTTCTCCACGGTTCTTCCGGGTCCACCAAGCGCCAGCGATATCCATCGATTTTGCCAACAAAGAAAGTGCTTTGACGTAGAGAACGAGGGCTTCCTCGGACAACGTTACAACGGCATCAACTGTGAGCCCACCATCCGTCAGATCGGTAGGATCCCGCTCCCCGCCGGGCACATTAGCCCTTCCCGAAGGGTCCGTTTGAACGGATGGTGCCAGTGGGATGAGTTGCTTGTACTTGACCTCGGCGAAGCCATACACCACGTCACTCCGCGTGGCACACTCCTCGATCACTTGGACAGTCTTCGCGTCTTCATCTAGGGCCACGTTGGTCCTTGCTCCATCCCCGACAACCATCAAGCTACCTTGCGCCGCCGGATACGCCGGAAAGGGGTTGTAGCCCAGTGGGGGAGAGCGCCCTCCTTTCGTAATAGTCATGGGTGGCGAGAAGCCCATCCCAAACAAGCGTCCGCTAGCCATGTGGAGTGCTTTTGAGATGGCGGACGTAGGACTCTGGCCGTATCGACGCTCGTAGGAACCTTGACGGGTGTGCGTCGAATCAGCCCGAGCTCGTCCAGAAGCAACCTGCATTGCTTTACCTGTAGTAGCCAAGGGTGACGTAGCTGTCGCTGTGGACGAGCCTTGGGTGCCTGGACGACGTGATAAGGCATAGGCGTTCCTGGGGAAGCCACCCTGGATCCGAGGACTATGTGCCAACTCATCTGCAAAAGCGTTCACCTCCACAGCACGTTTCTCCACAAGCACATAGTCTCTCTCAAACGCAACTTCTTGTGCCGCACGCTCACTTTCCTCTTTCGTTTTTTCGGCTTGCTTCTCGGCTTGTGGGATTCCCGCGGAGGTATTTCGGCTCCTCTGCCGCTCCATTACAGCGGCCGTAGCGTTTCGATCTACAAGCTCCTGACGACCGGGGGCCGTGGCAAGGGACACTGCACTCGGTCGTTGAGATGTCGCGGTTGCCGGTTCTTTAGATGTAGTCGGCCGGTCCACACTTCCCATCCTACGCATAGGGGATGGGGAAGCCGGCGGAGTGTCCGACCTCTGCGTGGGAGATCGACGAGCAGCTGGGTATGATTCCGGATCGTCCTTTTTTTCAGGATACGAGGCATCTTTCTCACGCTTCATCCCGGTGGGGGTCCTTGACCCCGTTCGAGACTGGGGACGAGATGTCGATCCGGTAGTGTCCACCGCGACCGACGAACGGCGGGACGTCGATGGAGCATCATCAGCTATTAATCCCGGGATAGGTCCTGTGATAGTATCGCAATCGAAGAAATCGGAAAAATTCATGCGTTCCACGGGATTCCGCTTCAGTAGCATTCGAATCAGGGACTTTATTTGATCGGAGGCAGGATTCTCCTCGGGGAACTTGATCCTGTCCTCTCCTTTCTCAATCTTTCGAAGTAGCTCCACATGGTTCGTTGCCCGAAAAGGAGGCTTTCCCACCACCATCTCATAGAGTACGGTGCCCACCGACCAAAGATCTGCTTTAGCGTCGTACTTCTCGTACCGCAGGATTTCGGGAGCCATATACAGCGGGGAGCCACACAATGTTTCCGCAAGCGATGTCGATGGAAGAGACCGAGCAAACCCGAAATCCGCAATCTTGAGCATTGGTAAAGATTCCAGTCCCGTTGCAGGGCTAAAGGATTCTTCACACCCTTTGAACGGTACGACCTGGGCCGCGCCACTCCGGTATGATGACGGAGACGGACACAGTAGAAGATTTTGTGGTTTAATGTCACGGTGGATCAAGTTTCGATCTCGGAGAAATTTCAGGGCGCTTGCCAGCTGCTTGAGGAAATGGCGGACGACCACTTCATTCAGTGCGCCGCCACGGGGGTTCGGATACTTCGCAATCATGTCCTGCGTATATCGATGGTCCCCGAGTGTATCTCGGCGCTTGATGAACAGTGACAGATCTCCCAAGGCACAGTATTCCATCACCAGGTGGATGTGTGAAGTCGTCTCATGGCAGTCAATGAGGGCAACGATGTGTGGATGGTATAGCCCTTTCAGGATATGAATCTCCGAGGAGAGGTTCTCTTTTAGCTTCTTATTCAACTTGGAGAGGTTGACGGACTTGATGGCGACGTATGTACGTGATTTCTAGAAGCCCAAAAGTAATTAGCATTAGTCCCCCGTTATAGCTCCACCTAAAAAGACCTAATGAACCTTAACGAATCTAGACTTACCGTATGGACACCCTGATAGACTGTAGCAAAACTCCCTCGGCCAATCTCATCCAATCTTGTATAGCGACCAATGGGCATCTCGGCATGGGAGGTCTCCCTGGACCTCCTGTGGTGTGAAGACGACATACTGCAAACAGGGCGACGATAACGCCCTAAGACAAGCGTCTACAAAAAACCAACCACGCCCCGACGGCCACACAACTACCTCAGCAACGGCAGCAACAACGATTGATGATGGAAGTGGCCCATCAGGGGAAGGAAGAGATGATGTCCCGAGGGCTGGTCGATAGGGAGCAATCAAGAATAAGATAAGGCTGGGGCAAAGGGCGGAGAAAGGTATGTAGAAGGAAAGCAGAAGCCGGGAGCCGTGGAACGAGGGAGGAGATGATGGACGAGCTATCGGGCGTCAAGGACCGAAACGACAGAAAGTGGACCAAGTCGCTGAGAAGGAGAAAGTGTCGAGGTGAGCAGCGACGACAAGGATGGGAACAGTATACAGGCGTACGAGAGCGGTGAGGCGGAAACGGGTGCTCTACGCTGATAGGAAGGCGATAGCTGCAGGAGGTAGCCAAGGATGTTGATCAAGGTCGATGATGGCCGGGATTATCCCCGATAACACTCTATAGAAGGTGGTACAAGCGTCGATGTGAGAAGACGCAAAATGGTGGAAGATCAGAGAAAAAGGAGAGTGTCAAATCGAGGCAAATGGACAGAAGAAAAGGAGAGAAAGTACTGGCTCTGGCGTATCAGTGGAGGATGATGTGATGAGGCCAGGGCGGGTGACAAGCAGTAGACCCAAGGAACGTTGGACGATCTCGTCTTTGGGGAAAAGTACCAGTTGCTAAACTACCCTAGTACTAGTTATGCGATAACGATCTATTGGGGACCAGTGGGAAGCAAGGCGGTCAGAAGGGCGGCGATGGCTTTTGGAGATGATCGGGAACCAATCCAGATGAATACCCAAAACAGGAACAGGGTTAGTTACTGGAATGACTGAGATGACTGAGAGAAGAATGGTCAGATTCCTGAAGGCGACTGTACAGTAAAATGATGGAAGATCCTGAAAGAATGACGAAGATAGAAGAACCAGGGTGTCTCAGAAACGGGAACCTAATCCAGCAGTGGCCTGAGGCTGGAAGATCACAGGATCACAGGATCATTCCGGAGGTTATTTATCTCGTTAGCGCTTCGATACTGCCGCCAAGTCCTCCGTACATTTAAGCAGGCGACCTTGTTCATGACATCTACACTGCTCTACAAAGGTGACCTAGTGGTCCGTCATTTCACAATGACCCTGCAATTTCCAGGTTATTCATCTTCTTCTTCTTCATCACCGGAGAGTGAATGACTCATCTGATGATAGCCTTCTGTCCACAAGCGCCCGGTTTGCCACTGAATGACTGAAGACTGATCTGCCGAATCATCGATGAGACCAAAGTGGAGACGCGTTAGATACGTTGGCGTCCACTAAAGAGGCGATCAGCAACGTCGTTGACGAATCGTAGAAAGTTGCCTAAGGGGTTCAACCTATCATCGATTATTGTCCTTCCATCACGAGTTAATATCCTAGTCATGTGAGAGAAATTCCAACACATCAAGGCACAGGCTATCTACGCCGCTCAGTATTTCCTTCTAAATCTTGCAACACATGGTAGAGAGGGAAAAGACAAAGTCAAAAAAGACAGAAAACCATGGACAAGAATGCAATACAATACAAAATCCCCCTACCCAGTTTCCTTGATCTAGAAACTCAAAACCGTGTCAGATAAGCTTCTCAGGGACTGTTTCATCCAAAAGCATGTCCCAGTAGTTAATCTATCTGTTCTCACAGACCAAGTCCCCTGACGAGCAGCCACAGCACAATCGGTACGACGACATTGTCATTGCACCCCGTCAAAATCGCTTCGGCCGCACTGGTGCCTGCAGCCGCTAGAATGGCTTTGCACACCGTCCAAGGCCAGAATATTTGATTCTGCCCATCGTTCCCATGCACAGCCCATTGGCCCGCGGCAAGCCACAATCGGGCAAAAACTAGGCCTCCGGTCACGGCCACCGCAAATGCCACACTGCCCTCCAAGGACTTGCCTCCACCCCAGAACCACTTACGCCGACCAAACCGACGACCCACTAGTGACGCGGCTGCATCTCCAAGGCCGACGCATACTACTCCGCTGACCATACTGACATCCCGGGACTGAACGTTCCATACGCCCCACGGGTGATCTTCCGACCGGGGCATGTCAGCCAAAGAAAGCCAGAGTGGAATAGAGCATCCGATAAGAAGGAAGATGTGAGAGATGATGACAGGGCCCCGATGGTCACGGCCGTCAACATAGGGTGCCAGGAAATAAGTCAACGGCCGAGAGATTGGCGGCATTTGGGAAGCTCGGAAAAGGTCCAGGAGGAGAAATATAGACAGTACTAGAGCGAGGGCGAGAGCACAGAATGCAGGATCAATGTAGATGGTGGGAAGGAACATTAACACCATCATGCCGTGGAACACCTTGCGTCTTGTATCCACTTCTACGATGGAACTCAACTGGAAAACCACACCTAGACCCATCATAATCACCGCAATACAGTGAGCAGCAATCAGAAGGCGGGTGTTGGCTTCCCCAAAGGAAGTTTGCCGGAGACACGCCATCCAGCCGAGAGAGCACAATTCACCGTCCAAGCGAGGAGGAAGAGGGATCCAATACTCCAGGTTCCACATGATCACCCAGAACCTGAACCAGGACACATTTCCGAATAGGTAGCTCAGGGCCCACCCAAAGGGCTCCTCTCCATGCAGTGCGCGTTCGCCCACGTACTTTCGCACTGGGCCCATGATGATAATTGCCACAACCGCATATACGTACAGGGCATAAAGCCATTTCCGCACTTGTGCTTGTGGTACCGTCAGTGACAAAAAGGATGCCAGACCCGGGGCCATCGATCGCTTCCGTCGGCCACTGGGAGTGGTCCTGATACGCTCTGAATGTGCAACCTCATCCACGCTGGAGATGGTATGTCGCCTTCGATGTGCTGCATGCCGATGGCCGTTCTCTTGGGGGGGTTTGTCGGCCAGTTCTCTAGCTGGAGTCTTCTCTCGGAACTCGTGCGTTGTTCTGCGTGATATTGGCGCTACGTGAGCCTCGGATTCACTGTCCGACAAAGCATCTTCGGAGGAGCCCGTTCGGCTCAGTTTCTGGCAGAGTTTATGGTCGATAACATACAAGAGATTTTTTCGTGACTGAGAACCACTGGGCGACCGTCTAAACTTCCAGCTGGGGATCCTAGCTAGAGCGACCTCCCAACGGAGAACATGCCGGCAAGAGATAAAAATGCACAAGCCGCCCAACCACAATAGCGCCTTAAGGATCTCCGCCTGGGGGGAGCTCGCAAACAAAAAGAGATTCACAAGAGCACTCGTCAAAAGCTGTAGCTCTGCCGGAAGGATACTGGTAGTTAATAAAAAATCTAAAGTGGGTATCAATGCTTGATGCAACGGAAAAACAAGAGTCAAAACTTCAGAACTGAGGCCGCGAAGCGTGAGAGGTTTGGGTATCGTGTGATCGGCTGAAAAGTGCTCCGAGACAACAATGGGTATCAACGTGACCAACCAATGGACGACACTGTGACCATGCATCCACTCATGCAGTGGAATGACCGGGGCGGGTAAAGACGAGAGACTGAGAATGACGTTCGGCAGTACCAACGCAGGGCTACGGTGCGCCAAGGATAAAGAGGTATAAATGGGTATCAAAATCGGGTAAAGAAGGGGTGCGGGATCGAAGCTGCTTGGAATGGTAAAAGAGTGTAATCCGGAAAACCGTAGGCGTCCATTTCTCCTCAGCGGATACACCCCGTACAGGCCTGTGACAAGAAGGCCATGAGCAAGCAGTTCTACCAAGCCATTAAAGGTAAGCAATGAACTTCACAATCATATCAAGGACAATCAGACATACCTTTTCTCCAAGCCCATGCAAGTAACCTCGTATTCTCCTGGGACAGCACAACCGCCCCCACGGACAATAGCAGACCGGTCTCTAATAGCCTTCGCAAGACCTCCATACGCTTTTTCCCAGTCTTCCGTCGTAATCCCACCCTTCCAGTTCCCGTGTCCTCACTGGAGCTCTGTCGTGAGCTCCGGGACGTTGACCGTCCCAGTGAGGGCCACGGTTGCAATAACGGTAACCACGAATCACGTTCCGCGGCATCACTGAAGCCCGAACGCAGCCCTTTCCGCTGCCGAAGAGGGGGCGCCGGGAGTCCTTTTAAAATTCCTGTACTCTCATCATCTGCCTCGGTACCGCTATCACTAGACGTTTTAGGCCATGAATTGGGAGTTGGTCGATCACCGCCGTCGGTAGGTAGCAAATGCGGTTCGGGACGTTTGGAGCCCTTGCGATGGTAGGGGTGCGGCGACCGGGAATAATTTCGGAGACTGTCCGGGAGAAATGAATCGGGTTGGATTAGATTATTAGGAAGATGTAATCTCTCCTCCTCATGGTTCTGCGAAGCGGCCATGACCCCATGGACTCTTGATCGGAGAGTTTTAGAGCGTGTACGTCATATCTGAGGGGACAGTTGCGGAGACACGAGGACACTTTAAAAACTGAGAATACCACGTTAGTAGATTTTTTCCATAAACCAGTGCCAACGGGCAATCCAGGGCATACAAGTGAGTATTAAGGCGTATTGCTGGTGGAGGCGTGTGAAGGATCGGTTGTTATTTAAAGAGGCAACGAAAACGGAGGCGGTTTTTTGCGTATCACATGCTTTTACGCTCACGGGATTGCAAGTCCAACGGCTATACCCAGATCATGCATAGATCTAGGCCTCTGGCTCTATTCCACTGGCAGATTTCCTGATCCTAAATTTCATGAAAGTTCAGTAATGCTTCAATCGAACATGTTCCAGTCAACCCTGACTCAGCGTACCACAGCTGATCCGGTATCGCCAGACACTTTTAGCTCCTGATGTCTAAGCACCACTTATCGAGCCCGTTGTGACCAATCAATTAGGGTTGATGCTAAATCTACACACAGGCCTTCTGGTTGAACGTGGGCATCAGCCTTGTTCTTATGTCACGCAATATGCAGCGGTAGTAATTCTGTCTACTCGGTCCACGCGTCCGTGGGGTTATGCGTTCTGTAGGATAATCCCTGCCGCCAATTGCCGCCCTTTCTGGCCCCATACTGAGGTGCAAGGCACGACCTGACCCAACCAAGTCTTTTCAGGCAGCGGCTGTGTTGTGTAGAGAACTGCATGGGAAACCCCCGCTGTGGAGTATTTTTCAAGAATGCGCTGCAGGCACGACTCCAGTCCAGTACTGGATTCTTTGCCAATCTCAATTCCTGTATATCGCAGATTCTCATCCGTGATGGTGTCGATCTTGCGACCAACATCCAACTCTTCCGCGGCCATTTTCAAACCACTGCACCGGTAACCCAAACCCTGCCATTCGATATCGCTACCCCGGGGTAGTTCAGCAACCTGGACAGCAAAGAATGGAGGAACCAGTACGTCCGACTGCACCACAGACATGTTAGGCAAAGCAGCTGCCTCTAAGTTTGTGGGCTGGTCATAAGCTCGTCCTCCATACTTAATGTCCCAAGCATCCAACGCCGGCTCTTCGTCATCCTCGTCTGAATCGGTTTGCTGCGCATGCATCGTCTCCCACAGGCGCCATGCTATTTGTGCTTTGGCACCAATATGCTCTGTTCCCGTGAGATACGCAACTGCCCCCAGCCACCAGTCAACCTGCATCGCTGCCCCAATCCTCCACATATGCTGTAAAGACAGCACCGCTCGCAAAGAGTAACCCTCAAGCCATGACTCTGGGCCAGCGACCATATCCATCGACGCCGGTTCCAAAGGTATTTGACCGGCAATGTACACCAGCCGCGCTGATTGCACCGGAATAGACATAGCCTGTGAATAAGGTCCAATATTAGCCGGAGCCCAGTATGACCGGGACTGAACATGAAGGCCTTGTCGCAGGTCCCTGGGACCCAAATCAACGACCAACGAGACCATAATCTTCACGCCCTCGGGGAGAGTATCCCCACAAGCCACCGTAGCTCTGGCGGGGGGATTCGGCTTTTTAAAAAGCGAAACGTAAATATCGTTCATCAACGGGAAATCAACCATCGAGCGAATCAAAACCGTAGCAAAGACAATATCAGCCGGTGTCTGCGTACCCGTAGACTCCAAAATAAGCCGTATCTTCCGCGCAATCGCCTCCATCTGCTCCCCAGCACAAGGACCAGCCTCAGGCGCCGCAAGATTCGAGATAGTCCAAGTACCGCCATTCCTCGACTGAGCGACCTCCCCAAGCCGCCACACAGGCTGAGACTCTTCCACGGTCTTGACGTCCAAACCCCCTACCTCCGAAACCACACCATCCAAAACCCCAGAGAACTTCTCATCCAACAACGCCGGTCGCCTCACATCCCCCGGCGAAACACCATCCCGTTCATCCTTAGGCACACACCTCGCCCCCCGAAGCCTCATAAACCCAACACCCCCCTCCCCAGAACAGACCTCCCTCTCATCAATCTCAATCCTCCCCTTCCAAAGAAACCCAGGCCCATCCACCGCCAGACTCTCATACTCTCCCCCCTCCCCAAGAACCGCACCCCCCAAATCATCCACCACAAACCTCCTCATACCCCTCTCGATCCTCCTCCGCACCAGTCCATCCCGACTCGACACATCCCCCCAAAGAAACCCCTCGTCCAACCCGCCGGAGGCAACCTTGATAATCCTCGCCTCACACCCAACCCCAGCCATATCCTCCAACAACCCAGCCTGCGTAACCACTCCCTTCCGTTCCACTGGCGCCGGAAGCACCGGATAATTCCACAACCAAGCCAACGGCGTCAACCCCAACCGAAACGCCACATTCTCAATCCTGGTCCGTTGATAAGTCGACAAGATAGCCCCCGCACAGACGGCATTCGCCTCCGGATGACGCTCCATCACCCGTTTCAGCAGTGGAACGAGCGACTCCGTCTCGTCTTCCTCTCCTTCCTGTGAGGAAATCTCCGCCATCTGATCTGCAGCATCATTGCGGTAGATGCGGGCTGTGTCAACCGCGCCGCCGGTGATGGGGGCGCGGTAGAGCGGAATATCCAAGGCCTGCTCGTAGAGGGGGATTACGGCGTGGCCAATGGTTTGGTACATGAAGCTGTCGATGTCTTCTTCTGGTTCTTGGACATCTTGGACCGCGGGAGGGTGGAGATTTGCTAGGGCAATGACTTTGTGGCCGTTACGGATGCAATGCAGGAGAGAATAGAGGGAGTCTTTTCCTCCGGATATTAGGGCGATCACGTTTAGGCTTTTGCCTTGTTGTGGTTGTGGTGATGGGGTCATGGTGGGGTTGATGTTATCATTTGAGGAGGGGTATTTTTTTTCTTATTTTTTTTTGTCTTTCCCTGTTTTTATGTGACCCCGCGCTTGCGCTAGAGTCTAGATGCTTGAGATATGTAGACTAGTAATAGTTCGGTTTAATGTAGACCAGGGGTTGGACTTTTTTAGTTGTTAATCATTGGGGATGGAGGATGAGCCCCGTTTAACCTAATTTTCACTCCCAGTCGTCAAGAACTTGGTTCCGACACGGAAGCCAACCCACTAACCATGGGTTTGAACAGGGAATATGTACTACTACACTACCGAGTACATATTCAAGAGGGGGTTTTTTTTTTTTTTCTTTGATGAATCTTTGATTATCACTAGCTATGCCGCAGATCAAATGGGCGCTTGAATTAATAACAACGGGGGAATATTATGGATGCAAACAAAATGAAAACAGGATGATGCGCACAAGGGTATGAGGTAATGATTGGGGGGACAAGTTGAATTATACATGTGGCCAGCACAGAAATGATATGGTGAGGGTGCAACCCGGGTCAAGGTCAAATCAAATATTACATCAAATAGTGACACAGAATGCAAGATGAACGAGAAGTAGATCGAAGAGAAGAGAATAAAGGGAAATGGGTACAAGAAGAGTGGAGAATGACTAGAGCCATTCTGTTGATCGTGGCAAAGACATCTTTGCCAGAAAATGCGATGAGAAAATAAAAAAAAAAAAAAAAAGAGAAATCCCAAATCACCACCTGTGCCTCAAAACGAGAAGTCGTCATGGCGCTCTAAGTTTAGTCCAAACCGTGGACTCCCAGTGCGCCGAATCCGTTGCAGCCCAGACAACCGGTCTAATGCCTCCCAATGTAAAGTCTTTCTTGGTAAAGACCATATGTTGTATTATGTTTCTCTTTTCCCCTGTGTAAGAAACGGAAATCCTTTTGCCAGACACCTTAGCCTCCCACCTGACACCGCCAATGTAAATGCCCAGACGCCAATATCGCAAAGACAAAAGTCAGACCAACCGGTGCAATGGTAGAGTAATTATGATAGTGTGTATTAAGTAGTAAGGGGGGTGGAGCTCCTGGTCACATCGCGTCGTGAAGTTGCAAACGGCAATGGAAGCAACTAAGCATGTTCATCACGCTTGCGCTTCTTAGCAGATCGACGATCGACAGAGGGTGCGTCAGAAACACCATCTTCGGATGATTCGCTAGTCGTCGACTTGGTTGCCGCAGCATTGGCAGCTTCATAGAGCACAGCACCCATAGCACTCGCGTCACGTTCCTCATATCGTTGAGATGCATTGTTCGTGTCCAGGACGCCCATTACGATAGAACCACCGGCGTGGGTCCTGGCATGTTGTGCAAGGTTGTCACTCCGAGAAAACTTCTTACCACACTCATTGCACTCGAAGGGTTTGTCCTGGGTGTGCAGAGAGCGGTAGTGACGCTTCAGGTGCTCCTGACGACGGAAACGACGAGAGCAGAGAGAGCAGACGAAGGTCTTGGAAGGATCATCCGTCAGGGATTGCTTACGACCCCGGCGGTTCACCGACACAGGAACAGTTGGGGCCTCGGAAGAGCTAGATACATTGGCTTCCGAGGTTGCGCGGGACGGAGCAGTGGCCTGCTGAGCCGCGTGGGCCTCGGTACTGTTGGCCCGGCTGTTGACCGCCACCTGTGCCTTCTTGAGAGCATCCTGATCCTCAGAGTTTGCTCTCTTCAGAGACTTGCGCGAGTTGCTTCGCTTCTTCGCCTTCGTCTCATCCGAGGTCTCGCCGGCATCACTCTGGACCGGGGCAAAATCAGTACATCCCAAGAAAGAAAGGCCAGACTGGGCCAGATCCAGATCGTCTGAAGAATCTTCCAAGCTGTGCTCGCTCAGAAACTCCTCGTCCTCGAAAGAGTATGTGCTGAGACGCTGTCTCTTTTCACCCATGTAGTAGGCGTTACCGCTGGGATGGAAATCAACGAGGCGGTTGACAAATTCGTCCTCCGAATCAAGGTCTGAAAAGCTGTCAAAGGTGGGCAACGAACCGAGGGGGTCCTCGGTAGAGCTAGTGTAAGCGGGAGATGGGTTCTCATGAACGGGCAAAGTCACAGCCTCGCTTCCCAAAACCACCTTGGGTTCCTCCTCATCACAGGAGAGAGTGGGCAGAGGAGGCAACTCGGCGGGAGAAGATGTGTGCACGGAAGACTCGACAGTCAACTGCCGAGGATCACAGAAGTCGGAGGTAGCCTGCTCAACAGGGAAAGCCGACTGAGACGGAGCAAACAAGGAAGATACAGGAGATGGCGAAGGAGAAAGAGAGGGGCAAGAGCCATTGGCAGACAGGAAGTCTGAGCTCTGACTGGGGGTGAGAGTATTGGGGTTAATGAAAACTAGACCGAAGTTAGACTCTGCTCAACTGATGGGAAATGACACACAAAGACAAATAATACATACCAGGAGTCATAGGAGGCGAAGTCGCTGACCGAGCCCAGTCGGCACTGGCTAGAAGCTCAGCATGGACGTCACCTTCACAACCCTCCTTTACACCTTCCACCTTTTCGAATGAGAAAAAGCAGTCATTGATCGGGGTGTGCAGTGTGCCACTGCTAGATGGTGGGCTGCTGATAGAACTTCCAGCGGTGGAGAGTGGAGGGGTAGAAGGAAAGCTATAGTAGTCGCCGACGAACCTTGTGTCCAAAGGCATGAGGGCTGGGGAACCCTGCTGGACGACAATTGTGGGCTTCAGGTGAGATGGTTGAGGGGAGGCGATGGGAGTCATGTTCATTGCTCCCCGGAAGGCATTGGTAGTAGCCATCTGATGCATGTTCATCATGGGTTGAGCGTTATACACCGGTTGTTGCTCGGGTAGGCAATGTTGCTGAGGGAAGGCTTGCACATGTCCATAGTATGGCTGGGGTTCAGCCGGGTGACTTGTGTATTGTTGTCTTTGTGAATCAGCAGTGGGGTAGTATGCAAATGATGGTTGTCCTTGCACCGTTGGTGCCATCGTATATGTAGCGTCCATTGTGACTAGAAGACGAGGTATCAGTATAGGCATCCTGCATGATATAGCACATTTCCTTCCACGAACCAATGATGAAGACGTTGAGGATCAAGCGAATACTGCTTTACCTCTTGAGAGTATTATTATATGTATAGTCTATGTTGGTTCCAGATTGATGTCGAGCAGTGTAGTTGCTGAATGAATGTAAGATGTCTCTTGATGCTCTGGGTGAATGAATGACTGAAGGCAGAAGAGTGCAAGTCCGAATTAGGGTTTTATAGATAAGACTGCGAGTATGCAACGTCTTCTGGTGTGAATGTACGGTATAGTTATATCTGATAGAAGGAAAGACAGGAACCTCTGGTCGATACGAGCCAACCCTTTTTGGATTCGGGACGATCACGATCAAAGGTACCGGGAGACAGATGATGAAGTAAAAGAAAGAGAGAGAAAAGAGAGAGATGGACGGGGATCAAAGCCAAAAAATATGAAATAACGAAGGGAAGGAAAGAGAATCGAGACAAGTCTAAAAAGGGAAAAAAGAAATAAAGAAGACTAATTTGAAGGGCAAGGACAGTCGCGGGGAAACGAAAGACAGTGGCCGATATGGGAAAGGGAAGAGGGAGAGACGGCCAGAAGGATGGACAGTGGATAAAAGAGAGACTGATCTGCTTGTGCTACGACTTAGTAGCGCCGTGCGTAGTGAGAGTTAGTAGGACTGGAGCCGTACTTTTTAGTTTTAGTCCGTCTTGTCTATTTGGAGGGGGGGCGCGTGGAAGAGGGAGGGAAGGTAGTATAATACTAGTAATTATACCTAATAATATCCTGAATTATAATTATAATTATATATTTTTTTTATTATAATAAATAAAATGGAAATAAAAAAAAAAAAAAAAAAAA